TTGATTAATAATGTTTTTTGGCTCAGTTTGGAAAGAGTGCAAATACAAAGATATAGAGACTAAAATCTTGTATTTTGTATTATTTTGTATATATTTGTAGAAGTTATTCAATGTTTTATGTTCAAATTAAAAAAAAAAATATTGAAAAAAATATTTATAGAGATTTATTGGGACTTGAAACGATAATAACATAAGTTTTCCAAACTTCAAAAAGAAATGAATCATCATGTTGATGTCAACCTACAAATCGATGCCCGGATCAAATGATTCAATTGCCTGATAAGTGGTTTTTGATCAAATCAACGTTTTTTTTTTCTCTTTGTAAATAGTGGCTGGAATTCAAATGGATCAAATTACCTAGGCATGCTTTTTAATTGCTTCAAAATATCTTTAAGGTGGAGAAGCGTTCAAAATTCAAATTTAAACTCTGAAGCTTAGAATACAAAGATCAAAATTATTCTAAACTGATCAATGGTGGGTTTGAAATTCTGAAGGTTCAGTTTGGAATGAGTATACATACAGTAAAATGCAAAATCTTGTATTTTGTATGTATTTACACTGTCCATATTTATATTTATACTCCTTCAAGTTTAAAGTGAACTGAAAATCCAATTTGATGCAATAAACAGGTTCCCAATTATGGATCTTGTGGCCCACCTTTTACAAACCCCCTCCAACGAAAAGAAAGAATACTGAGCAAAAAAATCTCGGGAGAATGATGGTTTAGCCCAGGGTCAGAATTTCTAGGTCCAAAGTACAGTTGGAATAGGTGCCAGTTTGGAATTGATGCCATTCACAGATAGACATTGGTGTATAAAGTAGAGGTTTTTGACATTTTCAATGTTTATAGCTATACAGTGGAATTCAGAAATTTACATTGGGCCTATCCAAACTTTTTCGAAAAATCCTTAGTGCGTGGGTACTGAGTCTGAATTGATGACACGACTAATTGGCTATGTCGTTTCCCATATGGGTTAATGGGTCAGATAGGGTTGGGATCCAATGTGACATTGCTCGAATAGATTGGATTTGGGTAACAATATTATTTGTCATTGTAAATGAAAATGACCTAAACCATCCATTTAACTTTAAATGTGAAGGCTCCATCTGGGGCTGAGTTAATGGTTCAACTTTTAAGTTGGGGTCCCCTGCCAACCAATACGATTTGGCACTGCATATCTTAGACTCATACATGACATGCCCCATTTTTATGGTGGGTTTTAATCTCATAGTGAGATGTATAGTGTCAGATTATGTTGGTAGAGGTAGGGTGTTTGGAATATATTTTGTTGGCAGGAGATTAGACTCTCAGCTTTTGGGCATATACTGAATTAATTAGACGTTTAGGCCATGTTCGGTTCATTGTTCTAGGCCTCATTCTTACTAAGAATGAGAAAGAATAACTTGCCATGGGATATATTTTTTTTAATGAAAAATCAGTCCCACATCACAAAAATTGAATAGCCTGCAACATGAAAAATAAACATGCCCCATCTTGCTCATTTTCATTTTTTAAGGAAACTCTGCCTATAAAATTGTTGTCATAGATGTTTACTTTTGTGAAAGCACTTTTGTAAAAGTATTTTTACGAAAATACTTTTATAAAAGTACTTACATTAAAGCACTTTAATAAAAATATTTTTACGAAAGTACTTTTATAAAAGCACTTTTATGAAAAATACTTATATAAAAGCACTTTTAAGGAGATACTTTTACAAAACATATATGCCAACTCATAAGCATTGCCTTTTGGAGACCTAGGCTAGCAGTTTATGAATATTGACAATTTTTTTTTTGAAGAATAAAAATGAGCAACATAAGACACTTGTTAGATTGAAAAGATTTCATTTTTAGGAAAAAAAACATTTGGTTCATCGCAATATTTTCTCATTCTACCTATTTTCACCCGTTCTTATCCATTTTAGAATTTCATCTTGGATAAGAATGAGAAAGAATGAGAATTGAACCAAACATAACCTTAGCAGCCATTGGCCACTTTCATCTCTTAGAGTCTTCGCCGTAGGTTAATAGGAGAGGGAATCTGAGAGGGGAAAGAATTAATTTCCGTTGAGTATTTGTGTGTATATACAGTTTACACTCATCAAATAAGGTTTGTTGCAAGTATTTGAAGAGAGAGAGAGATCACGTCATTATCTCTTGCTATCTGCTTGACATCCCCCTTCAAGCTGAGTAGTGGGATGTAATTGATGGAAAGCTGCTTCTGGGTCAGTTTAGTCACAAACAAAGTGTACACCAAATGGTGGGGCATTGACAAAGAGAGATGCCCAATTGATAGTGTTTCTTTTTTTGGGAAGACTTAGCGATTAGATTGGAGCCAAGATAGATGCAAAAACCTGATTGGGAATTGGTATAGGGCCTATAGGCCCATGTTGCTGGTTGGTAGAGCATATAGCTTTTGAACTAAAGTCTGTGTCACCCACGAGCCACGAGATCCCAGACCCAGGGGTTGTTTCCCTCGCGGTCTGTTATGCAGGCCTTAATATGTTCATGTTTAATACGATTTAAATTTATGAAAAAATTATAACTGATATTGGCACTTCTAAGTTTTCATTAATGCTAGAACAGGATCAAATCTTTGTAAGAAAATTCCTCAAGTAGAAAATTAAATATAATTGTGCGCAGAGGCGGAGTCAAGATTTTTTGTTGGGGGCCAAAAGTTTTCACCAGTGATGAAATAAGTTTTTTAATACTTTTTTATATTTTAATTTTCATCTTTGTGTTATGTAATTAATAATCATTAATCCATTTGGGTTTCTAAGAACATCATTCAAGAAGGCTAAGTTTTTGAGAAAAAAAAGAAGGAAGCATTTTTGTTTGTGATAAAACATGGAAGTAACACAAAATGGAGCCTATGATTGAAGATATGTGATTTCAAATGTTTTTGTTTTTATGTAGTTGAAAGGTGGTCGGAATTTGTTAGGCACTGAAAGAAAGGCATGTTGCATAGAATGGAAAGGGGTAAGAGAAAATTAGGGCTCAGTTTGGAAGGAGTACAAATATAAATATGTAGGGTGTAAAACCTTGTATTTTGTATGTATTTATACTGTATATATTTGCAAATGTGTAGAGTGCAAAACCTTATGTTTTATATGGATTTGTACTGTACATATTTGTATTTGTAGTCCTTCCAAACTAAGCCTAGGGGATTTGGACATTTAAGCAAGAGGAAAGCAATTCGTAGCTGGCATGTCAGGAATTTGCACATGCAAGTCCCTTCACATGAACTAGGGATAGAATAAGTAGTTTTATTGGGATCTAGCAATAGCAATGGATGTCTGGAGTTGCCCTTCATATTTTCTATCAACATGACGAGAAAATGGGTAGGTTCTATCTAGAATTAAGTGGAATTAATATTGAACCGGCTTTTAACCGATCCTATCCAATCTATCACAGGGTAAGGTCCAGTCTCAAATTTTGGAATTGGCCCCCACCTAGGCTAGTTCCAAGGTTTAGGTAGGAGTTTATCCTACCCGAACTGACCAGGTGAACCAGCCTTGGAACCAAGATTCAAAGTATTGATACGATATGCCTCGTATCAAGTGCATCGTATCATATCTTTTGGTCTCGACACACCTATTTACAGGTGTTTCAGGACCCTGGTTTATTTCAGTAAAAAACCATTAAAAACATCTTTAAAAATTAAATTTAAAAAAAAACTAAAAAAAACCCATTGAGTGTGTCTTTTTAAGTAAAGTACCAATATGCCCCTGTCGATACACAGGGGCGTAGCGATACTTTGAACCATGCTTGGAACCAAATTTGCCTTAAAATAAACCCCAAAATGCTTTTGAGGATGTGAAGATTTGAGTCCAAGCATTCATGGTTACAAAGGCTATAGTCTCACTTGACCATTGAGTTATTAAGTAATTTGATCATTTGTTTTCGTTTTAATCTTTGAATGTGTATTAAAGTAATGTAAAAGGTAATATTTACAAAATTTAAATTATAATGATAAATTTTGAACCATATATTAATATATTATGATAATATAGATATTAGATTACTCAATTTAATCAGTGAAGATAATACAAGTTTTAAACAATATATTATATTTATTGAAAATCAAATTTTTAAAGAACATATTTCATTTTTTTTGAAGGGAGAGAGTAAAGAACGAACAGGTTCCACAAGTAGACCCTAGAATTTACCTTGGAACCACAGTCTAGAACTGACCTTGGAACAAATCTTCATAGGGTACGTTCTAGGTCCAAAAAACTGGAACTATCCCCTACAGGGTAGGTTCTAGGTTCTACTATGGAACCGAATTGAACCAACCCATGCCCAAACCTAATAAAGACTACCAAAACTCTTTAACACCACTCTCTATGGCCATGAATTGCTTCTACATGTTCCATTGAGTGTCCGTTTGAGAGGGCTGAAGCGTGGTGTCTTGTGGCTTTCCTAGGTGGACTCCACATGGGTGGTCCATAAGATGTATTTGGTGAAAAATCCAGAGAGTTCAAATTGATTATTAGTCGGTCATTTTTTAGGGCTGTCCACTTCAGCATCCTTAAATAGCTTATCTAGAATGCTTCAAAATAACTAAACCAACTTACTTGAAACTTCAGCTTAGCCCTCCCAAATGGGCCCTTAATTAAAAAGAAATGTATTAAAACACTCGGGATCTGCTGCTCACCACACTATGTATAACAACCTACAACAGTGTTTTGTACACATGGGACCCACATTCGTGTACAAAACAATGGTGTGTTCACTTGTGATAGGTTATCTAGGTTTTCACAACATAGTGCGGCAAACAACATATTCGGGCTTTGTACAAATATGGCTAAAATAATTAGAATTAGTGTAAGTACATGTGCAAATATTAATCATATATGATATATAGTATTTGGATTTAATTTTTATATTCACAATAAAACCAAGACAAGTATTTACTTTATATGATATTGGTGTGCGGATATGTGTAAAAGTATAAGGTAAAGATATAAGTTAACATTGTATTATTAAATTTGACTTTAATGACTCGCATAGAGGCCAAGGCAAGTATTCCTTTTATACAGTATAGATATAAATGAAACCTAGCCACCACCTACTTACTAGGAGTGCTTAACAGAAACCAAAAAAACAAAAAACAAAAAATTGAACCAAAAAAATCAAGTTTACCGAACTGATTGGTTTGGTTAAAAAATCGATGGTACCAATTTAGTTTTGGTTAACCTAAAAGAAAAGCTGGTATATATATATATATATAGTAACAGCAACAGTTAGTGTGATTCTGTGCTTAACCTTGATTCTGGCTCTTTTCTTTGTGTGCTGGAGAAGAAGACCAAAGGAGGTATCCTCTTCTAAACCTTTAGTTGGGGAATGGTACTTACAGGTATCTTATGGGGACCTGTTTAAAGCAACTGAAGGGTTCTCTTCAGGAAATTTGATTGGTTCAGGAGGTTATGAGACTGTTTACAAAGGAATTCTCCACAGTGATACTATTGCGGTGAAGGTACTTAACGTTCAACAACGAGGAGCTTCCAAGAGTTTCATGGCTGAATGCAAAGCTATGAGAAACATCCGACATCGCAATCTCATTAAGATCATAACTGTCTGCTCAAGCATGGATTTTAATGGTAATGATTTCAAAGCTCTAGTATTTGAATTTATGCCAAATGGGAGTCTGGAGGAATGGTTGCATCCAGGAGAAGAGAAAAAAGGTCAACCAAGAAAATTACACTTTCTAATAAGATTAAATATTGCAATTGATGTCGCTTCTGCATTGCATTATCTTCATCACCAGCGTGAAGTACCGATTGTTCATTGTGATTTGAAGCCAAGCAATGTTCTTCTTGACAATGATATGACTGCTCGTGTGAGTGATTTTGGCATGTCAAGACTTCTTTCAAACTCCACAAAAAAATTAACTCAGAAACAGTTGAGCTCGTTTGCAATGAAGGGAACTATTGGGTATGCTGCACCAGGTAACATAGATGTCCATTGTTTGTATTTATCAATTTTATTTTCAGAACTTCCTAATATGTTTTGAATTGATTGCTTATGACCATAAAACTTGTAATATGCAGAGTATGGCATGGGTGCCGAGGTTTCAACTCATGGAGATGTTTATAGCTATGGCATACTGTTATTGGAGATGTTCACCGGAAAAAGACCCACTGCTGAAATATTTAAAGAGGGCCTGGACCTTCATAACTACTGTAAAATGGCTTTGTCGGAGGGAGTCTTGGAGATTGCAGATCCACTACTATTATATGGGGAAGAAATTGAGCAACATGGTAACAATGAATTTTTGAGTGGCTGGAGGCACAAAATGCCGGAGTGCTTGGTTTCTGTAATTCGAATAGGAGTTGCTTGTTCTGCAGAGTTTCCAAGAGAAAGAATGGAAATGAATGATGTCACAGGGGGAAATGAATTCGATCAGAGACATTTTTCTTGGTGCTAGACATTAAATAGGCATGCAAAAAAGATGAGCTACGCCCCAACTTAGATGTCACTGCTGTTATGGTAAGGTTGTAATACTCACCATTTACCAGTGTAATACTGATAAAATCTGGTCACTGCTACTCAAAACAATCAATATGTGGTGATTACATTTCTGTCGCAGTAACCCTGGAATGAACAAAAGGGCGTTGTTGGCTGTTCCAGGCAGCTTTAGCAAACTGATTGGGACAGTTGGCCATGCTTCCATAAACATTGTTGGATGTGTTTATGGAGATTTTACCATTGTAGAGAATATCTGAACTTATTAGCCTCACCTTTTGTTTATTTTTTTTTTCTTTTACTTTTCTCTTTCTTTGGCTAAGAAAGCTGAATAGATTGATCAATTAATAGGACGTAAACAGGTATTAACTTTCACTCAACTTTCTGTTTCTCTTTTTATTTTATGTTAAATCAAACATAGTCTAAAACTCTCTCTCAATACAACTAGCATGGTTTTTGGTAATGGAGACACGAAGCAGAAGTATCTAGTATCTACCAGTGTTAGAAAATATATTTGCTAGTTACGAGCTCCAACACTGTTAATTTGTGGTAACAAATTGGTTAAGACAAGGTAGTCGGCCTAATTGGTTGGTTTCTGACTTGCCAGGACAGGCAATATTTCATGGCAGGACCTTGCCCAACTGAGTCAAAGAATATGGACGCTGATGAATGTCAACAATGCATTTGCTGTTTTTACAATAATCTTGCTGCTAGACAAGTCTACTAATCGATTTTCCCAACTACCTTTCTGCTGTGGAAGTTGGTGTTTGCTTTGTTACACTTGTTACCCTAAAATAGTATGATTCTTGAAGTTTAGTGGTTGCCTCTCGAGTTGAGGAGAAAGGAGTTTACCAAAGTAGGGGAACTAGTCCAATCTCGCTTTGTTGGGATTACCAACTTGCATTTATCAAACATATTGGAAAAAATTAGAATGTTGTTTTAGAAACCTGAATCCATTGAAACTTATGAAGCTGATTTCATCTTATAGGATTGATTTGGATGAGGCAATGAGAATGTAGCTGAGTTCATCCTATAGGATTGATTTGGGTGAGGCAATGAGAATGTTTTCTAAAAGTCTCAAGCTGATTAGTGCAATATTTCCTGGTGTGAAAGAATATACTCTGGATTGATGGAGAGGCGACAATATAGAGGCTTTAGAAATTTGAACTCTGATAGTGTACTGTATATCCATTGTTCTGATGATGGTACTTTGTTGATTGCAGAAGGAAAGCCATTCAGAACTAGAGTAGTGCAGAAACTGAAACTTGATCCATCATTTTGGGTATATTTATAAATATTCACGTGCTTTGCACAAAGTAATTTCAAATAGCATTAATAATTTCAATATCCTTATTCAAATCATTTAAAAAGAATAAGTAATAAAGGCATGGTGTGTGTAGGGTTGCAAATGGATCGGATCATGATCTGATCCAATCCGAAGTCCAATCCTATATTGTCAGATTTGGATATCTTTGTTTCAGATTTTTGGATTGGATAATTAGATCCAATTAAAAATTCGATTGGATTTGGATCACCCGTATAAGATCCAAAAGGATCTAATCCAATATATATGTTATGTATTTATTTATTTATATATAGTATATACATATATATATGTCATTTATTTATTTATAAATGTAATTTATATTGAATTTTGTAAAATTTTTATATTATTTTTTTATAAAAACATGTATATATTGATGAAAATAATTGAAAAATACTTATATTTTTTTTTGTTTTCATTATTTAAATAGGTATATTTTCTTTTTCTTTTAATAATTTATAATTTTTTAAAAAATTAATTCGGATTGGATCAGATTTGGATATTCGACATCTTGACGGGATTCAAATTCAAATTGGTAATCGGACCTACAGTGTTTTGGATCAGATTCAAATATACCCTGATTTGAGTTCAATCCGATTCGTTTATATCCCTAGGTGTGTGGTGTATTTAGATTTTACATTTCATTTTCATTGTTAATAAAAATACTTCTTATTTGTCATATTTATTTTTATGATAAATATATGATATTAGAGATGTGGGCAAATTTTATAGAAAAAAAAATTGTGTTTTCTATATTTTTTTATTTCTATGTATTTTTGAGTTTTTATTATATAATTATGACACCATGTGCTGGCCTATTTATCTTGAAAAAAAGGCAATCTCATTTTTGGGCAACTTTGAATTTTTTATTCCATTTGCATAATTAATTTTAAAAATAATTCTTGTTTATTACACTTATTTTTTGTTTGATATGATAACTTTATAATATATCTTAGATATTTCAAAATATTCTATAAAATTTATGCATTTTTTACTTTTTGGTGTTTCTATATATATTTTTAAACTTTTATTATTTAATTATGACATCATTTGTTAACTCACCCAAATGATTGGACCATCATGGTGAAAGTCAAGTAGGTTGGGCTCAATTTAAGCTTAACCCAGGCCCAATCCTATGTATTGGGCCTATGACTTCAGACCAAAGTCAAGCCTAATCTGTTCAAATTGGGCCCAACCTTCAACTTGCATTGACATTTAATACACTTGGGTCTATCAATTAACCCCATGACAATTTGACATAAAATGTATGTGTATAATTGTATATAATATATATATATATATATATATATATATATTCAAATATGTGGTATATATGTATTTATGATTGTATGTATATAATTAGGCTTGACTTTAGCTACCTAAGGGATAGGTTTGGAACCAACCTGAAAAATGAAAAAGCTCAAACTTTTGAACTTAGGCCCAGGCCTAAGTGAAAGATAGAAAATTGCAGCTAGCCTATCTAAAATTATGAGCTAGGTCGATTTGAGCTTGAGTTAAGCCCACCTAATTTGCCTCCTTATGGACCATTGACCATTAATTAGATGCAAAACAGTTTTCTTTTTGGCCCCATTCGCTTTCCGATAAATTACTTACCTAGGTAAGTGTTTCCTAGGAAAGACTTACCCGGGTTAGTGCATTTACCCATGTTCTTTCATTTTCGATATAAATAAGGCAATGACCATTTTAGTTATAAAAATCCATTATTAAAAGGGGCATTTTTGTCCCATTTAAGTGTTGGCAACTTTTCCCCAGGTGGGAAAGTTATTTGCCTAGTTAGGAGATGGGAAGTGATACCTAAGAAAATAAACTTTCCTTGGTCCCCACATAAATCTGAAAAAAGAACATGAGTTTCTTGGTCAATGGGAATCAAAATCCTATTGACCAACATTCCCCCTTTTCAAAAAAAAAAAAAGAATGCTCCCTTTAAGTTAGTTTAGTTTTTAATTCTAGTTCTATCATTTATAAAAATAACCTTTTACCTATCACACTTATTTTTGTTTAATATGATGAATACATAATATTAAGGGAAATTGTCCAGAACTCACCATGACTTTTCAACATTTCTCTTAAACTCGCCATAACTTTTCAAAATGTCTAAAACTCACCATGTTACTAACTTGACGTTAAATAGACTAATGGTTGTTATATATTACCATTTTACCCTTCATAGAAAAATATAAAATATATACATATGGAGTGTAAGATTTTGTTTTCCAAAACAAAAAAAAATATCACATAACTGTTTTTGATTTCAAATAAGCAAAATCATAAGTAATGGTATATTCTAAGAAAAAAACTTCTCTTGATTCTGCAAACACGGCATCCACGATATTCCCTTCCCTAATCACAAATTTGATGGCAAACCCTGTAATATCTGTCGTGATCTTCCTCGATATTCCCTTCCCTGATCATAACTTTGATGGAAAACCCTGTAATATTTGCCATGATCTTCCTCCCTTCTAGCACTAGGTACCGATGAGGCTTACCATAGAAAGTGAGGAGTGCCAGCACAGTAATCCATGTCACTACGGTTGCAGGGACGGAAACGGCCAGCACTGCCACCATAGAAAGCAGACCGAACACAGCGTTGAAGAGCACCTAGGCGTAAAGAGCCGACCACCCAGCAGCTCCAGCTCCATTAGAAGAAGTGGAAGAGACATTGAAATTGTACCAAGACAGAATGGAATGAAGGAGGTTCCATGACAAAGACAGAAGAAGAGTGTACACCAACCCCAACAGGCACGCCCATGTTCTTCTCTTGCTCATTAATCTCCTTAACAAAACCCAGGTCTCTAAATCTGAGGAGCTACTTTGCCCTTGTTGTTCTTCCTTCTTTTCTCCTTCAAAGTCTTCTGCCACTGAAGCTTGATTTCTTTTGTTCATTAAGTTGATTTGCTCTTTGTTTTGTTCTAATTTCTGAGGAGGGTTTTGGATTTGATTGGATTTCCTAGGGATTGGGGTT